GGTATTTCCTTTTGACTACTATGTCTGCAGTTCAAGTCACCCAACAAAAGATTGTGCTTAAGCCATAGCCTTTTAAGTTCGAGCAACTCAACTTTCAAAAAACATGTCTTTGCACTTTCTATCCACAAACTTCATGTTGCACTCTTATTCTAGCTTTATTCTAATAAATCTCTAGACTTTTTACTGAGGTAGTTACCAAGAATAAGAATTTTGTGAATAGCATCATCTTTTCTTTAAGGAAGCCTATCAAAATTTTAAGCTCTATAAGACCAAGACCCACGTCCAAAGCAGTTTTATTTTCCTCACTGTTCCTAGCAGAGTGCTAAGTGGTTAGTAAGTGCTCAATAAAAATTTTTATTATATTTATGTAGTAAAATACAAAATGTTGCATATTTTTATTTAATAATGGCTTAATATGATTTGTATTTCACTGTTTTTCTGTCATCAAGTGAATAATCACTCAATTTAGATTTTTCTGTTCTCTGATAATTCTTAATGTAAGCACTGTTGTCTTTAATGTTTCACAGTAAATTAACTAACACACATTAGAGGTTGCCCTCAGTTTTAGGAATTTATGTTAACCTTTTAGCCTTAAAAATCCTTTCATAAACTCAGACACCAATGCTCCCCTACCCTGTGGAAATCCATACCTAAAATTAAAAAAAGGAGAAAAACTTTAGCATGTCTTTTTTTAAATTTACCATTAAAAATATAGAACAAAATTTACCATTTTAGCCATTTTTAAATGGTTTAATAGTACTTAGTACATTCATACTGCTGTGCAGCCAAACCCATCATTCTCCAGAGCTTTTTCATCTTCCCAAACTGAAACTCCATACTATTAAACAATAATTCCTCATTATCCCCCTCCCTGCTCCTGGAAACCACCATTCTACTTCCTGTCTCTAGGAATTTAACTACTCTAGGTAATTCATATAAGTGGAATCATACAGTATTTGTCCTTTTGTAACTGTATTATTTCCCTTGACATAGTGTGTTCAGAGTTTGTCCTTGTAGCATGTATCAGAACTTCTTTCCTTTTAAAGGCTGAATACTCTTCCATTATTGTCTTTTGATGGAAAGAGAAGATGGTATTAGTGTATCCATTCATGAGCAGATGATATAAAATCTGTGCTTCTGATCCAGTGGAATTCTCCTCATTATGTTATAGCCTAGTGCTTACATTAGTTAGCATATTGTAGCATTTTTACAAGGAATGAACTCTGCCTCTGGGTACTCTAAGTCAAGACCGTGAGAATGACCTCAAGTTGAGAGGAAATTATTTAATACAGGCCTTCCAGTTCACCACCAAAAGTTATGTAACTTGGAACATACTAGTTGCTCCATAAATGTTTGAATGAATTCTTAAATATAGATGGACCACTGTTCATAATTTCCAAAAACTGGAAATAGCCCAAATAGAATAGTCACACAATGGAATACTTACAGCAGTAAAAGTGAATGAACTACAGACATACACAAAAACATCAAAAAAATCGTAAAGACAGAAGCCAGAGACTTCCCTGGCAGTCCATTGCTTGCCTCCATGCTTCCTAGTGCAGGGGATGCTGGTTCAATCCCTGCTCAGGGAACTAGGATCCTACATGCCATGTGGTGCGGCCAAATATATATATATATATTTCTTTTTAGAGACAGAAACCATATATAATAGAATACATACTGCATGGTTCCATTTATAAAATTCAAAAGTAGATATACTTAAACTCCTTAAACATATGTTAAAGGATACATAAATAGATAGAAAAGCTATTTTTTATGAAAAGCAAAGAAATGAATCTCCTAAAATTCAGAATGATTTTTATCACAGAGAAGAGGCTCATGACTGTAAAGGGCCATTGTTGGGGAAGGGGAGAGAGGCTCCTGGGATCCTGACAGTAGTCTGCTTCTTGACCTGAATTGAGTTTTTATGGGTGTAAAACTTCATTTTACAGAGTTTGTTCATTTGTACATTTATGTTTTACACACCTTTCTATTTGATCCTCATATTCCACAATTTTAAAATGTTTAAATTCTGTGATTCTAAGGGGGAAAACCAAGGGAATATTTCTTGCAAAGATGGGCACAATAAAGAACAGAAACAGTATGGACCTAACAGAAGCTGAAGATATTAAGAAGTGGCAAGAATACATGGAAGAACTATATGAAAAAGATCTTCATGACCCAGATAACCACAGTGGTGTGATCACTCACATAGAACCAGACATCCTGGAGTGCAAAGTCAAGTGGGCGTTAATAGCATCACTATGAACAAAGCTAGTGGAGGTGATGGAATTCCAGCTGAGCTATTTCAAATCCTAAAAACGGTGCTTTAAAGTGCTACACTCAATGTGCCAGCAAATTTGGAAAGTGCAGAAGTGGCCACAGGACTGGAAAAGGTCAGTTTTCATTACAATCCCAAAGAAAGGCAGTGCCAAAGAATGTCCAAACTACTGCACAATTGCACTCATCTCACACGCTAGCAAAATAATGCTCAAAATTCTCCATGCTAGGCTTCAACAGTATATGAACCAAGAACTTAAGATGTTCAAGCTGGATTTAGAAAAGGCAGAGGAACTAGCGATCAAATTGCCAACATCTGTTGGATCATAGAAAAAGCAAGAGAGTTCCAGAAAAACATCTACTTCTGCTTCATCGACTCCGCTAAAGCCTTTGACTGTGTGGATCACAACTGGAAAATTCTTAAAGAAATAGAAATACCAGACCACCTTACCTACCTCCTGAGAAATCTGTATGCAGGTCAAGAAGCAACAGTTAGAACCAGACATGGGACAATGGATTGGTTCCATATTGGGAAAGGAGTACATCAAAGTTGTATATTGTCACCCTGTGGCATCATGCAAAATGCCAGCCTGGATGAAGCACAAACTGGAATCAAGATTGCCAGTAGAAATATCAATAACGTCAGATATGCAGATGACACCACTCTAATGGCAGAAAGCAAAAAGGAACTAAAGAGCCTCTTGATGAAAGTGAAGGAGGAGAGTGAAAAAACGGGCTTAAAGCTCAGCATTCAAAAAACTAAAATCATGGCATCTGGTCCCATCAGTTCATGACAAATAGATGGGGAAGCAATGGAAACAGTGAGACTTTATTTTCTTGGGCCCCAAAAGAGGTGACTGCAGCCATGAAATTAAAAGGATTGCTCCTTGGAAGAAAAGCTATGACTAACCTAGACAGCAGAGACACTCTGCCAACAAACGTCCGTCTAATCAAAGCTGTGGTTTTTCCAGTAGTCATGTATGGGTGTGAGAGTTGGACTATAAAAGAAAGCCGAGTGCCAAAGAACTGATGCTTTTGCACTGTGGTGTTGGAGAAGACTCTTGAGAGTCCCTTGGACTGCAAGGAGATCCAACCAGTCGATCCTAAAGGAAATCAGTCCTGAATATTCATTGGAAGCACTGATGCTGAAACTGAAGCTCCAGTACTTTGGGCACCTGATGTGAAAAACTGACTTCTTAGAAAAGACCCTGATGCTGGGAAACATTGAAGGCAGGAGGAAAAGGGGACGACAGATGATAAGATGGTTGGATGGCATCACCAACTCGTTGGACTCGAGTTTGAGCAAGCTCTGGGAGTTGGTGATGGACAGGGAAGCCTGGCATGCTGCTATCCTTGTTGTCACAAAGTCGGACATGACTGAGCGACTGAACTGAACTGAACTGAAGGGGAAAAACTAAAAAGATCATATGACATAATCATACAGTATTTTAGCTCTTAGTTAGATTGATAAAATAAAGATATCATTGGCCAGTTTCCTGGTACTACAGTACCAGGAAAGTACTATAGTCTATATTAAGGTTTCCTTTTTACTGAGTTACAGATATAAATTCCTAGACTCTGTAGTTTGCGTGCATGCTTAGTCATGTCCAACTCTGTGCAGCTCCATGGACTATAGCCCACCTGGCTCCTCTGCCCAAGGAATTTTCCAGGCAAGAATACTAGGGTGAGTTGCCTTTTCCTACTCCAGGGGATCTTCCCAACCGAGGGATAGAGCCCATGTCTCCTATGTCTCCTGGCAAGTAGATTCTTTACCATAGTGCCACCTGGGAAGCCCAGGCTTTATAGTTTGGGGAAATGGAAATCGGAAGAGGAGCAGTACTGGGTAGAAGCCTGTCAACATCTGCAGTCCATTAAGGACCTGATGCTTCATTAAAGTGCGTTAACCTCAGTGTCTTGCCAGTGTTACTCACTTCTTTGAAATTGTATTCATTTCCGTCCCAGCATGATGTGTGAGAAATCGGAAGTAGGCAAATAGGACAGATCTTTCTCCCTCTCATCTCTCTTTATCCAACTACCTCTCTTGAGCCATCATAAAAGGTAGAATTAAAGATCAGCAAATCTTTGACTAGCTTTTGAAAAGAATTTCCTCATTCACAGAAATTTCATCAAATTAAAGTTACATGGCCAATTGCTTCTTTGCTTCATTAGTAGTTTTTAAATTGGTATAATGAACAGCTTTCCCAGTTACTTGGGTTCTGCTAAATTCTGAAACTATTCCCATGTATATCACTGACTTTGGTGATTCTTTAATTAGCTTAAGCCTCAAAAAAGCTTGACTGGCCTATTGAGTAGATTATTAAAATGAAAGTTCTAATGGGTCTTATTTGTTAAGATGTATAATAAATCAAGTGGCTACAGCTCATTTAGGGAGTGTCACAACAAATACTGTGGCTAATTGGAGGATATAGTTAGAAATATTTTGATTAAAGATATCCAGCCATCACTGGAAACCGCTTCATGTCAGATTTTACATATGAGGGGAAAGCAATTAGCTAGCATGCCTTTCTTAGGATAAAATTCCAAAGTTTTGTTCCCCTGTTGTTTGTAAATTTGACATTCCTTGAGTAATTTGTTGAGTCTCTGTTCCAGACATAGCATAAATTTCTGATTTATAGGCATGAGTATATGCCTAGTTTTCTGCATTTTATGCTGCTTTTTGCACAGGTTCCTGCCTTACCTTACTGTTTTTCTCCTTTCAGGGGCTGACATTTCAGGAAGTGGAGAACTTCTTTACTTTCCTAAAGAATATTAATGATGTAGACACTGCGTTGAGCTTTTATCACATGGCTGGGGCGTCTCTTGATAAAGGTAATGAAACTCAAAAGTGTTTTTTTGAAGCTGTAAACAGTGAATCTGTAATCCATTAGGTGACTACCCTTCCTTAACAGAAATATGTGAGTTTTTCTTGACATTGTTTTTTATTTGCTTTGTCATGTTGACATTGCATGGGCCTTGCATTTCACCCTGAGAGGCCAAGTTCAGCAAATACATTTTCTTGAGCTAAACGCTATAGTCAAGACAGATGCCCATCTTTATTTTTTTTTTATATTGTAGTGGTTTTTGTCATACATTGACATGAATCAGCCATGGATTTACATGTATTCCCCATCCCAATCCTCCCTCCCACCTCCCTCTCCAGGTGCCCATCTTTAAATGATTAGTCTTGGAAACACATCTAAGCTGAGGCACAATGCATGGAATTTGGAAGTTCTCTTATCAGAGCCAGAATTGTGACACATGTAATGTGAAGCCAAAGTTGCTGTTCATTTTAATTCATTCTTCGTTGGGAAGGAATAGTTTGGTTTCTTTTTCGTGTTAGTTTTTGTGTTTTTCTTTAAAGATAAAATCATGACTGTAAGAATAGCACCAATCCATTGGCTAACTTCATACAAATTCAGCTCCAGTTTGTATAGGCAATGGGAGAGAGCAGAGCAATTGCAAGCAGTTTTTCCCAATATTATGAAAAATTTCAAACATACACAACAATTTAATTATTCAGAGAACATTCATATATCCAGCTCAGTTAACATTTTGCTATATTTCTCTGATATCTCTGCATATATTCATCCTTCTGTTTATCAGTCCCTCATTTTTTTTGATGCATTCAAAGTACATTAGAGACATAAGTGTACTTCACTCCCAAGTACCTCAGCATGAATATTAACTGAAGTTCAGTAGTTGTTTACAGTTCCCTTGTGCCCTTTTGCAGTTAATTTCTGCCCCTAGTTATCAAGAGGCAACCTTAATTCTGTATGTTTTTCCACCATAGATTAATTTTGTTTGTTCTAGAACTTCATACAAATGGAATTATACCATGAACACTCAGCTTCTCTCAGCCTGTTTTTGAGATCCACCCATGTTGTTACACATACAGTAATATGTCTTGTTTCTTTTTTAAGAATAGTTATCTATTGTATGACTACTCCAAAATGTGTTTATCCTTTCTTCTGTTGGGCACCTTAGCTGTTAACAGTTATTAACTATCTTGAATCAAGCCACTATGAACATTCTTGTGTTAGTCTTTTTGAGGATACGTATTTTAATTTTTCTTGGGTATATTGCTGAGTCCAGAGAAAGGTGGGTATTTCTTTTATAAAAAAACTTTCAGACACTGTCACTCGAGTGTATGTTCCTCGGTTCTTTGTCTCGTCACAACAAAAATTTGGAGTGATGGACATTAAAGCCCCTTGGCGGGTCACAGCTCTCGGAGGACAGACCGTGTTATTACTCTCAGGTCTCAAACAGACCGTGTTATAGCTCTTAAATAAATCAGTGTTACAGCTCTATTTATTTAGATAATAGCAGGAAAATCCATCTTTGAGGCATGAGGGCATGTCGATCCAAAGACGTGAAGAGAAGATCTCCCCATCGCGCGGGGGAGAGAGAGGGAGCAAAAAGGGGAGAAGAGGGCTTTGTGCTCTTTTCATATGTTTCTCTGTCTTGTGTCTCCTGCATAGGCAGGCATTCTTTACCACTAGCGCCACCTGGGAAGCCCACCAAACTGTTAAGATATTCTCCTATATTTTCTCCTAGAAGTTTTAGTGTTTTAACTCTTGTATTTCATATGTAGTCCATATTTAGAAAATAATTTCTAAATATGGTGTGAAATAAAAGCCAAGATTTCTTTTTTTCCACATGGATATTCAGTTATACCAGCACTATTTTTGAAAAAACCCTCCATTTGTTTTGGCACCTTTGTAAAAAATCAGATGACCTTTTAAGTGGAGATCTATACATCTATCTTTATACCCATGAGCTTCCCTGATAGCTCAGTTGGTAAAGAATCTGCCTGCAATGCAGAAGGCCCTGGTTCAATTCCTTGGTTTGGAAGATCTGCTGGAGAAGGGATAGGCTACCCACTCCAGTATTCTTGAACTTCCCTTGTGGCTTAGCCGCTAAAGAGTCCACCCTCAATGAGAGAGACATGGGTTTGATCCCTGGGTTGGGAAGATACCCTGGAGAAGGGAAAGGCTACTCACTCCAGTATTCTGTCCTGGAGAATTCCATGGACTTTGTAGAGCATGGGATTGCAAAGAGTCGGACACGACTAAGTGACTTTCACTTTCACTTTATACCCATACTCACTGTCTTGATTACCTTATAGCAGCCTTATAGAAATTCTTGAAGTGTCATGTATTATAAATTCTCCCAACTGGATTCTTCTTTTTCAAAATTGCTTTAGCTGTTTTAGGTCCTTTTATTTCCATATAAATTTTAACATCAGTTTGTCACTTTCTCCATAAAAAAGAGGTAGGATTGTGATTACAATAACATCAAATATATACATTAATTTGGGGAGAATTGACATCCTAGTGAAATATGAGTCTTCTAGTTCATGAGCATGTTATCACTCTCCATTTTTATAGGTCTTATTTTATTTCTGTCACCAGTGGTTTGTATAAATATATAGGTCTTAAATATATAGGTCTTACACATAATTTTTAAAAATTTATGCATATTTTATGGTCTTAATGCTATTAAAATTGAATTTTTATTTCATTTCCAGTTATTTGCTATTATAAAATATAATTGATTTTTGTTTATTGATACTGTATTCTGTAGTCCTGCTAAATTTGCTCATTCTTCTAGGTAATCTGTGAATTCCTTAGGTTTTCTGTGTAACTGGTAATGTCATCTGCAAACAGAGATAGTTTTACTTCTTCTTTTTTTATATTTATTCCTTTATTTTCCTTGCCTTACTGCACTTGCTTTAACCACCAGTACAATGTTGAATGCAGGTAATGAGTGTGGGTATCCTCGGCTTCTTCCTAATTTTAGGGGGGAAAAATTCAATATTTTACAGTTAAGATGGATATTAGATTAGACTGTTCATAGGTGCCCATTACCAGATTAAGGAAATTCCTTTTTCTTTGTATTTAAAAAAAAAAAAAAGATTTTGTCATCAATGACTGTTGAATTTTGTCAGAAACTTTTTCTGTATATATAGAGAGGAATGATTATATGGCTTTTCTCCTTTATTTTCTTAATATGGTAGTTACATTGATTATCTCTTACTGTCCTGAAATAAACCCAACTTAATGGTTATGTATTAGGCTTTTTATATATTGCTAAGTTTATTTCTAACATTTTGTTAAATATTGAGGAATATTGATCTGTAATTTTCTTTTTTGTAATATCTTTTCAGATTTTGTAATAGATATACTGTCCTCATAAAATGAGTTGGGAAGTTTTTTCTTCTTTTCAGTAAGAATTTGTATATGTATATGTATGTGTGTGTGTGTGTGTGTGTGTGTATATATACTGTTCTTTCATTTTGAATTTTTTTATAAAATTCACCAACAAGACTATCTGGGTCTACAGTTTTCTTTGTGGGGAAGTTTTGATAATTTTTAAAATAAATACATAGGCATTCAGAGTTTGTTTTATCTTGTGTGAATTTTAATAAGTTGTCTATTTTTAGAAGTTTGCCCGTTTTGTATGTTATTTAATTTATTTACCTAAAGCTATTCATAATATTCTATCATTATCCTTTTGCTATCTATAAAATCTATAAAATCTGAAATCTAGCCTTTATTTCTAAAATTGGTGAATTATATCTTCTCTTTCTCCTTTTTTTTTTTTCTTATTTAATCTACCTAGAGGGTTAGCAATTTAAGTTTTTCAAAGGATCAGTTTTTTACTTTATTAATTTCTGGTTTTTTCTTTTGTATTATTTCTTCTCATATCTTTATTATTTCCTTCCTTCTACTTATTTTTCAGTATACCTACTCTGCTTTTCATTTTTTTAGATTCTTAGCATGGAACTTTACCTGTCTTTTCTAAGATAATCTTTGGAGGCTATAAATTTCATTCTAAACATTTCTTTATCTATATCCCACAAATTTTGATATGTTATATTTTCATCATCATTCTGTTTGAAATATTTTATGATTTTCTGCATGATTTCTGTGGTGGATTACATATTATTTAAAGATAGGTTGTTTTTGATTTCCAAATATTTTATTTCTCTAGATATACTCTTGCTTTTTATTTCTAATTTAATTCTATTGTGGTCAGAATACACACTGCATAAAATTTCAGTTCACTTAAATGGACTGAGAACTTGTTTTATGACCCAGAATTTGGTCAGTTTTGTTTTGATAAATGTTTCACATATATTAGAAAAGAATGTGCATTCTTTTGAATGTAACGTTATAAAAATGTCAGGTCAAAGTGGGTCGATAGTGTTCAGATCTTATATGTCCTAACTGATTTTTTTGTCTAGTTGCTCTTAGTTAGTAGTGGTAGTAGTTTAGTCTCTAAGTCATGTCCGACTTTTGCGACCCCATGGACTGTAGCCTGCCAGGCTCCTCTGTCCAAGGGATTCTCCAGGCAAGAAAACTGGAGTGGATTGCCATTTCCTTCTCCAGGGGATTTTCCTGACCCAGGAATTGAACCCCGGTCTCCTGCACTGCAGGCAGATTCTTTACCAACTGAGCTACAAGGGAAGCCCACTGCTCTTAGTTAGTGAGACTGACATGTTAAAATCTCCAAATATGATGTGTGAATTTGTCTGTTTTTCCCTTTAAATGGTGTCAGTCTTTACTTCGTGAATTTTGAGCTCTAGTATTACATATTTAATGATTATGATTATTGTGTTTTCCTGATGAATTAGCCATTTTATCATTATGAAACATTCCCCCTTTATGTTTAGTAATACACCTTTTCTTGAAGTCTGTTTTGTCTGGTATTGACTTAACTACTCTAGCTCTTTGGGTGGGCTTCCCTGGTAGCTCAGCTGATTCTTTGCATGGTTTGTCTCCTCTCTTCTTTGTGTGTTAAACCTGTCTGTGTATTTATGGTTCATC